TGGAGTGAAAAAAGAAAGAAGAGAATTTAAGGGAGAGAGAAGAAGATTGCCATCGAATACAGTGCCATTGACATTTGCTTATCTTTTAAAACATTACCGAATACAATCATTCGATCTGCTTTGCACACTGCTGTATGTCCTAATCGAGCACTAAACGAGAAAAGTAAGATTGATTATTAGGTGTGAGTATGAATGCAAAAACACAACACTGTCATATTGGATAAGAGCGTAAATTAAGCCATTTAGGTGTATGTGTATATTACTATTCATCTTTATATTTACTTCTTACAGCATTTTAGCTAACCTTGGTTTACTTGACACAGACTGATCAAGTTGATTCCACACACCTTGTGAGACAGAATAAGTAATGAATACATCTTGTGGTTGGAAATCGGTAGTTTGGCCACCGAAGACGGCAATTGTGTCGAACTTTGACAGATAGCAAGCTGTATGGTATGCTAATGATGGGCCATTAGCATGAGATGTCCAAAAGAGAGTTTTTGAGTTCTGTTGTTGGTAAAATGGTACGAGATTATGGTTGTTAGATTACGTAATGGATTGCGGCGCGCTTAAGGCTGCGAATCTCGCTTGCGGATTATCCTTGTCATAACGGCCCTTAGCTCAACTCCCAGACTCTTGTATGAAGAAATCCTTTCCATTACGTAGTTCACATAATATCCTTAACCTACCAGTCACCTTCTCTCGTTGTCACCAAAACTCACCAAAGAATACAACAAGTTATCAATGGCCTGTGCTTGATTTCCTTTTGAATCAATGGCTCGTCCAGCAAATCGATATAGTTCTCCATTTACTGCCGTGAGCGTTACACCTATGCGAAAGTCTGATGGTGGAGATACTAGTTACAAAGAACAATGATGCGTTATTATGGATAATTCCATACTAATACTATTTTCAGATTTACGATCGTGTAACCTTGAATCATGACTGAATCTACCTACCACCACCCAAACACTTCAGACAAACTATCAACGCCAAACACTGTGTTGTACCTCAGTTGGGGACCTGTCTCAGTTCTGGACTGAATTCTGGAATGAGTGACTGGGTTCCGAACTGAGACAGGTCCCAAACTCAGACACAACAACTGTAATCCCAACGAACTTACAAGTAGTAGTCTCTCGCCAATTCCACCGCGTTACATCCAGAACTGCGATATTCTCTGCAACATTTGTCTGATCCGTCGTATTAGCCATTAGGACGAACATTTGTCCAGTTGAGAATCCGACGCAGGGCACGAACTTTTGTGGAACAGGTATTGTGCTTCCGGCAACGGCAGTTATGCTAGGCCTGTACCATTGTCCGTCAGCTAGATTCCAAACTACGACGTCGTTACTTGCAGCGGGATTAGTAAAGATGTCAATGGATGAAGAAGTTACGCCGCCGAAGATGACCATGTAATTGGATGTTATACAGGCGGAATGGCCAGCACGCCAGGGAATGTCAAATATGGGTGGGCCAAGGAGGGATTGCGCGCGTGTGAAAGAAAGAGAAGGGAGAAAAACAAACAGGAAGAAGAAAGGGGATAGATAAAAAAATATAGAAGAAATTAAATTGAGACGAGTCATAAAGGTCGAAGGTGATTTCAGCCGATACATGTTTTTTGATCTTAATCATTAATGTTCGTTTTGTTTAATGGTGTACAGAATCTATTGTATAAGGCCCAAAGTACCGAAACTATTAGAATACCATACGCATTAGTGATTTATTGTAGTGATTGATGAGGGGCTGAATCTTAGTTTTAGTCGCCTTTTGTAGTAATTATGCCGGTATTGCGTATTTCTGCTAATCTTATTGTTGGAATTAAAGCTCAATGCTGAAGTAGTCGTTCGAGATAATCAATGTGTAATTTACGCAACGTGTAGTCGGATTCCTTAGTACTTGCTAGTCGCTTGTTCGTTAAGATTGCTATAAATATCACACTATAAGTATATTATTGTACTTTATTATAAGGAGTATGTCTTCTTTTCTTGTGACTGACTATACAGAGGAATATAATTAAAGTTCAAGACGAAGAAAAGAGTGTGGGCAATTGATGAAATTAGACGCATTTTATTTTACAATTGTAGCAAATTTGTACATTTTATGTTGATTAGATTTTGATAATAATAACCGGTTTTCAAGCTGTTTATGTTATGGGAATTTTTTGTAGTACCAGCAAAGCCAGAACTCGAAAGAGCGGGGATGCGGTGAAGAATATTCTGTACAACAGCCGACTATTTTGAGTGTATTAGACAAGAAAAAGGTTTACTTTCGTTCTTAGTTATTTCAAAGTTTTCAACCAATTCCCATTGCAAAGCTTGAGCATTAAAAAGTTCTGCTTTCAATTGATGCACACTCTAAAAATAATTGTTTCCGTGTAACAAACAAACAGTTGTTATCGATCTATATTTAACCTAGGCAAAAAAAAAATTCACGTCGATCAACCAAAAGTTCGTCTAATTGCGTCTAATAAAGGACACGAAACCAAAAGTTCGTCTAATAAAGGACACAAAACTAAAAAATTTTATACCATTTTGAATCTAATTGATTGTATTTTCGAAAAAAGTAACAATATTTTCAGTCCCGTTATCGTTTTAAAGCCGTAGTCGCAGTAGTTATGTTACACATGAAATGCATATGTGTAACCCCGATACAACTTTCTATGTTATACAGCTTAAACGATAATACTGTAATAACGGGACTGAATATATTGTTGCTTTTTTCGAAAATACATAGTGCATATAGATGACTACCAGAAAGCCAGTCTTGGTTAATGTTATATAGACAGTGTAAAAAACATTGTTTCCGATATGATGTCGTACCCAGTTCAACTTGGCTGCGAAAAATTATGTTTCGTGAAAACCTTTAGAAGGTTGACGCGTTTGCCCGTTCGATCATTGACTTTTGGTCAAGTAATGCATTCATGACGGTTTAATATTAATGATTGATCAAACAAGTATTAATCTTCATACGTCACACGCGTGACATACAGCGCTGACGTAAAATCACGATTAGTTGTGGACAAGAATTATGAGGATGTAATTGTGCTAAAATTAATATCAAGTTAGCGCACCTTACAAACTTACTTGGAGCCTACTTTACTCAACCAAAAATACATAAATTCAGGCACTGCCTAAAAGTTTAAAAATTGTTTCACATATAAATTGTACCATAAAATGTACATTATTCAAAAGCGTAAAACAACCGCAAAAAGTTGAGCAGAATATCCTGCTTCAAATAAAAATTTACTTGTACAAGTGCGTCTTGATATAACGACACGCTCGGTTCCAACCTAAATAGTCGTTATATCAAAAATGTCCTTATATCGAGAACTTAACTTTATAACGACAACAAAGCAAGTTCAACCAATTGTCGTTGTACACGTACAAAAAAAATAATCAATTTTATTGGACAAATTTGATAGATTTTCTGCTTACCTTTTCTGCTTTGTTAATGTCATTAAGAATTAATTCTTGTTGCTTAAGCAAACGAACGAGATAAGTATTGTATTAATATTAATGAAAACTTAAAATGGGAGCTTAATAAACAAAAAAGGA